ACTTAGCGTGTGCGGGCTAGGTTTCTATGCGTTATTATTCTAAGCTTGTGAATATCAACTAATATTAAGTAAGAGATTGCTCAAACTAACTCGGTTCGATATTTCTCTCCGTGTAGTTCATATATCTGTCCTGTAGGTATTATTGAATAAATTAAATAAAAATCATGTCACACGCAAACAAATAAAAAGGCAACAGACACAGTTTCGCAATTTAATAGTAGTAGTATTCCTAGATAGGCATAATTTTCGTAGATAACAGACCGCGGGCAATCATGTTTTAACAAGTTTTTGTTAAATAACCCGATTTGTGCATTCCTATATCAGTCGGCTGGTTCATAGAATACTTGTTCTTACTTGTTGAGTACGATTGAGCGTCGAATGAGATAAACGAGTTTATGCATGTTTGTCTTATTCCTGTCGGTGCGTGCTGCGTATGCAATCCTATATAAACATCGTAATATTTATTTTATTTTCATTTGGGGTTTCGCGCGTAATAGATAAGCAGCACTTAAATTCAACACTTATTTACGTATTTCTCAAAACAAAACAATGTCAAAAGTAAAAAAGAAGAGACGGAAATAGTGAGCGGAATATATTAATTTCGGATTCATTGAAAATCCCACAAACCCATCGTCGCCTTTGTACCTTCTATGTCTAAAAACATTTTCGAATGAGGCAATGAAGCCTTCAAGACAGCAAAATCATTTGAATAAAATGCATCCAGATAAGAAAGACAAGAATGTAGCAATTTTTTCAAGACCTAGAGAAGAAGCATGATACTCAGCCAAGTGTAGCAAAACTCTTTTCGGCGGCTGCTAAGCAAGATGATGACGGACTTCGAGCTTCGTAAACTTCTTTAATTGCTCAAAAAGGCAAACCACACAACACCGGAGAAGAGTTAATTTTACCAGCAATAAAGGAAGTAATAATTACTGTGCTTCATTAACCGGCCGCAGATAGTACCCGAAAAATTCATTTGAATAATAATTCTGTGCAAAGACGACTTGATGAAATGGCTGAAAACATTGAAGAATCATTGTGCAATCATCTGACGACTAGTCAATTCTCAATTCAGCTCGATGAGTCCACTTTACCAACGAATGAAACGTTGTTGTCTTACGTGAGGTTTATTAAAGATGAGAAAATACGTGAAGAACTATTGTTTGCTAGAAATTTAGAGACCGATACAAACGGCGCAACCATATTCAACACATTGAAACAGATTTGTGATGAGAAAGAGATTCCCTTAAAAAATATTGTATCAGTTGCTACGGATGGCGATGGCGCTCCGGCTATGACAGGGTGCCATAAAGGTTTCATAGCATACTTAAAAAATAAAATTCCAGATATCCTTGCTGTACATTGCGTTATTCATAGACAACATTTGGTTGCTAGAAATTTCAGTGAACGACTATTTCAATCACCGCAAAATGTCATCAAAGCTTACAGGATAGTCTAAACATCAAAGTAGTCAATAAAATCCGTAACAGCCATTGACTTACAATTATATGGACGTCGGGTCCGCGCTAAAAAGTGTCCGCACTTGTAAGGCGCTAAAATCGTATACAGAGCGCGACACTCCGCTTTAGTCTTCATTTGTTCTACGGACAGCGCGATACTGCGATGACATAACAATTTAAATTTCGAATAGGTTGACTTGGGACATTTTTTTCGTGGTTTTTGTATTAGACCCGTCGTCCATTTATTTGTAAGTCAATGGTAACAGCTATAATTGTAAGTCAATGGTAACAGCCCTTTGAATGATAGATTATTTCATCAGCTTTGTGTTACTAATGACGAAGATTTCAACCGTTTGTTGTTTCATGAAGTTCGTTGGCTATCAAGAGGCAACTGTATGACTCGATTTTACAAACTGTTTGACTCTGTGATAGAGTTGTTGGAAACTTAAGATACAGAACTGCGCAACAAGCTCATTACATTAAAGAATGATATAGCTTACATGACAGACCTGTATAAATTGTTCAACGACATGAATCTCCAACTGCAAGGCGATGAACTAAATTTAATTAAAACAAAAAATGTCATTGCTGCTTTCGCAGCGAAACTGCTTCTTCACAAAAAGAATATGGGCAGACGTGAGTTTCACAATTTTCCGAATTTATCAGCATCCTGCGGTAACGACGACTTGTTTGCCTACTGCCACTAAATATCGTTTTTTTTTACAAAATAAGAATTTTAGTTAGACTGATGTATTTAAAAATGAATATTTAGGTACAACTATTTCACATATTCGTACACGTAGGAGGTATACGTACAGACAGATACCTACCGAAAAATATTACTTTTTGCAAGCTTGTGAATATACTTAATGTAGAGACTTAGGGTCGTATTCCAGAACTGTACTCAATGCTCAAGTCAGGATTTGAGCAGACTTGAGTATGATTTCAAGCACTGGAAATACGACCGTAATGGCAAAGACTTGAGTATGATTTCTATTGCTTTGAATCATACTCAAGTCCTGACTTGAGCATTGAGTAGAGTTCTAGAATACGACCCTTAGAACGAGCTGGGAACGTTCAACCGTGCATCCCACTCGAACTTATACTAAAAGTAGTGAAAGATCGCTATTTGTCCCGCTCACACCGTTCCTACTGTATAAAAGACAGGTGAACTATCAACGTAGACAGTTCCTAGTTCGTACTGAACTAAAAAGAACGATGAACTATTAAAACCGTGCAAGACGAACTAGTCCATGTCGGTCAGTGTAGGGAATATATTCCTAATAGTTCGTAGTTCATGAACTATACAAACCTACTAGCAAACACAGTATAACTCACGGCTCTCGCGGGTCGCTTTAGCGGCCCAGCGCAGCACAACGCGCAACATTATATGTATATATACAGTTACATCATAGCCTTCGCATCATAGCAACGCGCAACATAATATTAGGTAGCTCGATTACCACTGAGTGATGTAAACATTTAGGTAATTGTATTCAAAGGAATAGAGATAGCTTAATGGTTTACGGCAAGTGGTCCGAAGGGTTCATTGAGTGCGACAAAAGTCTAAAGTCTTGGAACAGTGCTCCGCATCAAACAAGAAAGGGGCTGCCCGGCAAACTGTCAGAGGTAGGAATATAGCTCTCAAATGAAAGTTGTCAAGAATCTTGGTTAGGTTATGCCAGAACAGTGTTTTGATATGATGATACTTGATGGATCACACTGACTATCAACGCTCACGGCCAGATTGGCACCAGCTTTTAGCTAGCGATAATGGGCGAGGCGAGTTATTTAACTCGGTTAACAAGAGTCACTCCTATAACGAGTCAACTCGAGTTACTTTTTCATGAACTCGAGCTAACTCGGTTGAGCCGCCCCGCCCACCGCCGAACCGAATACTTCATTCAAGTCAAGTTATTTAACTCTAGTTACTCCCACGAGTCAACTCGAGCTACACTTTGTGAACTCGAGCTAGCTCGGACTTCGGTCACGCTGGGGTCGCGGTCGGCCGGCCGATCGTGTTCAACTCGGTGAATCGTCGGTTCGAGTTCTACTCGCGACTCACGGTTGCTCTGTCAAACACAGTCCAGTTGAAACAAATACAACTCGTCCCATCGCTACTTTCAGCTTTTTAGTGTTTCCAGAATTCCTATAAAATAATGATTATATACGTAGCGATTGGTTTTTGTTTTATCAGTTTACCAATAATCAGTTCCCGATGTGGCAATAATTACGGTCTATTCAGTAATTCTGCGTAGAACGCATAAGTAACTTTTGACAATTCACGTTTTGCATTGTGATTGTTTGTATGTATGCAGTGATGACCAATAGGAGATAAGCCCTGCTCTTGGCATTTCGGAGACACAACTACTCTACAAAAACTATTGTAGCGCCCTCTAGTTGGTGCGTTTGTGAACATATTAGCTAAAACCTCTAATGTTAATAAACGATCCAGTGTAAATCCGATTGAACAGTAACCTGTACCTATGTAATGGATGAATGTGCGGCCAGACTAAAATGGTGAGAACGGGAGGCCATTAATTAACTTTGATCGTTGATTAGTTGGTTGTTTGTACGTTTAATGAAAATATGAATTTGCATTTTTGGGACAAAGAAAAGTCAAGAATTCAAGTAATTCGCTAATTTATTGACTATGCTGAGCTGAGCGCAGCGCAATCAAATATATACCAACTGATCTAGAACTATAAATTTGAAAAAAGTCCAAATTAAATAACTTACAATTTTCAACAACATTTTTTTATATATCCTTAGGTGCAGCTTTTTTGTATTTTTTCCATTTTGTATATTTGCCTCATTACTAGTAAAAGATAAAAAACCCCTTAAAGAAAAAAAGGTAGAAAAAAATCCTAATGGCCAATTTTGTTATTTTATAGCAAATTAATTTTAATTTTAAAAATATCCAAAAATCGTGTTACAAGCGTGCGAGCTTTCTTAGCTAAAACGTCATGTATACTTATTTTTTTTTGCTTATTGGCGGTGCCCTTTTTAGAATTACCGTGATATTAAATTATTTTTTGGTAAATTACTCCACTAATTTGTTTTAATTATTATAAAGATGGAACACTAAAAGAAATCCTCCGATCCGGCAGAATTTTTTATTCTTATGAACTGTTTTTGAATTTTTCGATCTGCTTCTGCTTTTTAGATCTTTGTTATTGGTTTGAAGAAAACTTTCATGCATTTCTCACAGATGGCGCTACCGCAAAAAAGTTGGTTACAACCAAAAACAACGATCTGCAACAAGCACATAATAAAATTCATAACGAAAAAAATCCGGACCCAAAAAATTTTTTCTCAGTGTATGATCTGCATTCAAAATAAATCGATTAGTATTAACTCTTCAAATTCCACTTCTGCAGCTCAATAACTAATATCGGAACACTGAACACAATGCGTTATGCGGATTTGCGATTTCATTTGGGATTTATTTGAATAGTTTAATGAACTTTCCTCATTGGTTTTATCACAATGTTTTTCCCTACGGTGGTATAACAAATATATCTTTTGTAACTGAACTTAAACGTCAATGTTACTTTTAAGTTAATTCGACGTTAATGCTAAAGTAAGTTTGTAAAAATAATATATTAAAATTATGACGAACGCCGATGTCGTTGTTCAGAAACAACTCGCACTGCGATAAAAAAGCTATACATATGAAGGTAACAAACCTTCACTAATCACTTCCAATAGCGACGCTAGATGGCGTTATATGAAGAACTGGGTTTTATGTAACAAAGATGTTACTCTTGTTCGTGTATTAAGTTGTCTATGGCACAATAGCACAATTAATTCTGTCGTCTCAGTTAGTTTATTTTCGTCGTTTCATTTATGTGAAGTGTATTGAATCTATATTGGGACTTCAAAATTTTTTGTATCCTTGAACGCTCTTTATTTGCCTTTCAAAATACGGATATTTAATTGGTTGTTTTATGTTTAAATACTGTGTAAATACAAATTTTGGAAAAGTCCTTTGTATGGATGTGCGAAGTTTACATCGCATGAAAGTTGTATTTTGCGTTTCTGGGACAAAATCAAGAATGTGTAGATAGTACATGGCCTTTATATAGAAATAAATTAGGCGTAGAAAATTTTAATTACGGCTTTCGCAGTTTGGTGCAGATATGACTCACTTTAAAGGACGAGATGTGGCTACGTACAGAACTCTGAACAACGAGTTGACGCCTCCGTTGGCGAGTTTGGCGGAAACCCCTACGGGGGCACCTACCATGATCTCGTTGGACCACGAGCACGAAGACACTACCAATGTTATTATTCACAAAGTGCCCAAAACCAAAGGTTACCTTCAACATGCGTATTTTTCTTTGTTTATATTTTGCTACTAGACGCAGTAAATACCACGCGCTGTAACTGTTTGGCTTCTATTTCAATTTTTCTCCTAAAATAGTATTATAAAAAATACTACATTCATTTGGGCATAGTTGTTTACATAATTGTAAAAAAAAAATACTTTTAATATTTGATTTTTGCTTCAACCTTGGATTTTGTATATGTAATAACTAATTTATTCCAATGTATGTTGTTACAGGAGGATGGACACATATAGAGGACCTGGACTCCTTTTTTACACGAATGTATAGATATTATATCCGTGGTGGTTTTTACCCGATGATATTGGCAGATCTATTTTATTTACTGCAATTTATATTTATTGTGTGGTTTTCTACATTTTTAGTGCATTGCGTAAACTACCCAGTACTATTTAGAACTGCAAACATAAGTCGATCTGAGAAAGTAACATTAGATCAGGTGATACTGTCTTCAAAAGAATGCAGGGAGGCCATATCATGGAAATGGTAAGCTAAAAAATTAAACAGTCCTAGATATATATTATATGCCAGCTGAATATTATATTAGTTTGTGGAAAAACACTAGAACTTCTCTGGCTCCTTAAACAATTTAGAATGTGTTTTGAATCCACAAAATATTGGCTGCCTCATGGAATGGGTTCTTAGAACCTTGTATTCATACATGTGCTCATTTTTGATGTGGCTTTAGTTTTGTTTTTTGTCAAAAGTATTATTCCTCCTATAAAATAACACTTGTCGTATCTACTTCTTGTGTGCATGAATTCAAACATAGTTACATAAAGTTAACATTTCTAGATATTTAGTATAATTTATTCAAAAATAGCCATTGCGTGGTTCGGCGACCTCGCATGCATCCTGTATATTTGTTGCAGTTATAATAAAACCATGAGTTGAACATGGTATTTATTTACATGGTAAATCATAACTTAGAACTTCTGGTGTTTTAATTTAAATATGAAATGATGTTGTAACTTGAACATAATATAACACCTGTACGATGTAAATAACACTATCTTAAAAATATTATTATTATATAAAATATTGTCATTGCTGCATAGCAAAGTTATGCTGATGAGATGATTACACATACATTATGACAATGTGACCGTTGTCACTTGAGATAGGCTGTTGTTAGCCAGGTCTTTAATTAAGTTGTTAATTTTCATCCTGTACTGGAGTTCTAAGAAAACTTTAACATACTTAAAGTCTTACATTCTTTTCAGTTGTCCTATGGCGATATTCTTTTAAAAAGGGCACTTAGATCAAATTGTAGTATTTAGTTGATCTCGCAGAAAGTGTTAGTTAATAAAAAGGATGACATTAATTTTTATTATTAAAAAAATTAAAAAAATTACTTGTACAAGGAACTGGTCTGTCTTCGCGATTTGTGGTAAAAACCAATCAGTGATTTGTAGGGTGATTTTAATGTTAACTTATTTATGATAAAATAATGATGAGTACAATACTTTTTACTGTACATTAACAATAATAACCCAACAGAACAATAAGTATAAAATTAACTAAAACTCCAAGGGGGGTTTTATTATTAAATGGCAATTTCTTCTAGGCCAGACCTGGGTTGAAAAGTAGGAATCACAAATAGGGTGCAATCAACAAATAAGGAAAGTAAAGAAAATGTTTGTGCCAAATTTAATTAGCTATCAATGTCCCATTCATTTGCTTCCTGAAATTGTCTCCACTTGTGTGACTTTTTATTTTAATATTCCTTTGTTTTAGGTGGTGTCTCATTGTATTGTGTGGACTAATTTGGCTAATGAGATTAGTGATATCAATATACCACTTATATTATGCATATGACACAAAGTTATTTTATAATAATGCATTGAAAATCAAGGAGGTAAGTTTTTCGTTTGTTAATGGAAGTCGAGCTTAGTTGTTAGTTAGTCAAATTTATGAGTCTTATCGATCAAATACTCTTTGACATAGTACTTTCAAGTGATGAGGTAATAGAGAAAGGCAAGGACTAAACGCTTTGTTTGCCCTCGAGGTAATGGCGGATATTTGATTGCAATTTCATTCCAGAGTGAGCTTGCATGGATGAACTGGTCGACTGTACAAAACCGAGTGCGGGAAGCACAGCCAGAACACCATATGTGTGTCCACAAACAGGAAATCAGTGAATTAGACATATATCATAGAATACTCAGGTATGCATTTTCATTATTAACTTTTATTCATGGTTTTTGTGACTAGGTTCAGTCTTAAATAGGCACCAAATGATTACTATTTCAGTACTTATATCTCAGGATCACTGGCGCAGTGCCCCCTTAGATCTTTGCGATTTTAAGCTCTGCGTGGCACTGCAAATGTTATAGCCAGGCGTATCGTTTAGCCTGGTGGTAAACGACGCGACGACTTCATCGTCCAGTCAATTGGTACCATAAAAAAACCAGGTCTAGAACATGAACACATTTTTGGGTCATGTACTTTGAAATATTGTGTTAAAAGTACTAAATAAACTTATTTACTAATAGCACCTTCAAATTAGACGCTGCAGTAGCAATAGTGTGGCACTGCAGCTGCCCCGTTATTACTATTCATAAAATATTTCGAAGCGCACATGCAGCTTCACTCTTGTGACGCGTGCGCACCACTTCTGCAGTCACAATAAGTGAACTAAAAATTGCGGAAGCGTCACAGAAGTGCGACTGCCGCGCCACATTTGCGCCACTGCAGCGTTTCTATAAGAATCTAATATGAAGGCGCCCAGTAGCGATGGTCAATATGGAATATCCATAAATCACATTCCGACCTCATTGGTATATTTGTTATTAATTATAATATTTACGACTATCGATAATAATGTTGGTATTTGACTCACAATGTATAAGATCGCCATTTTCTTAGTCTTGTTGCATGTATATTACGTTTATTACGTGATTTATTTCAGATTTAATAATTATATGGTGGCAATGGTGAACAAAAACCTGCTACCGTTACAAATTCATGTGCCTTGTATTGGAGATTTCCACTATTTATCAAGAGGATTGAAGTGGAACCTGGAGTTTTTATTGTTTTGTAAGTAAAAATAATAATTATATTTATTTAGTGTAAATATCAGAATTAAGGAATGGACAATTTATGCACACGCAAACTAATCTTAATTTAAGTTCAGTACGTCTAGAAGGGTCAAAATTGTCGATGCCTATAAACTAATAATATTAGACGGCATCCATCCATTCCCACATGAAACCAAATACTGTTGTTACCCAAAATTGTGGAATTGAGAAAACATAATTTGAAAATCTAAAAAATACATTTAATGGATAGTATTGCGAAGAATGTGATTATTTTTATTTATACATAATACTCAATTTATATCCATTTATAAACGAGAATATATAATTGGTTTCATTCTGAATTTAATTAAAATTTTCTAATCGTGTTTTCTCAACTTCACGATTTTGAGCAACAACAGTATTTGGTGTGCGAATAGAATTCAAGATTAAAGCTGCGAACGTTACCATTGAACGCGATTGACAGTTAATGAAGCCTAAGCCAGGTATATGTGGAAACATTTCTGGCGGGGTTCAACTACCAAAACCCACATTTGGAATATCATTGGGTTTTCCTTCCACAGTTAGTCCCTTTAGCCCGTGGGAGAATTGCTGGCAGCTGCGTGAATGCTTCAAAGACCATTCGAAGCGAATGATGCTAGCACGTCAACTGGAGCGCCAGATCTTGTTGCTTGCCGTAATTAACCTCCTCCTCGCACCACTCATACAAGCCTGGCAGATTCTCTACTTCTTCTTCAATTATGCAGAGGTAAAGTACTTTTTGTATGCATTGCGATGATTTTTTTTTTATGTTTTTACTTTATAATTTCGTTTACATGTACAAAAATCTTGCTTAGAGAGGTTGTTGTGCGGTTTGCAACGAATTTATGTCTTATGATGACTATGATGGTCTTGGAAAAAATGGAAATATAAATTCACATTTCAATATATTTCTTTCTGATGGCACATATGACTTTTATGAAATTATGAAGGTTTAAGGTTTCACAGTGAAACAAGGTAGTTCATGCAAATGCTTTTATCCCCTCGTCCAGTCTAGCCTGGCCCAGCTTCGTAATAAAATATGGCTAAGTAAATGACTTGCTTAAGCGAAATGTAATATTAAGTCTATGTCAAGCCAGAAGTGTATTCTATAACCTCAATTGTATGCATTCTTAAGCTCTTCCTTATTTATAGAGCATTGAATTGTACGTTTGTAGTAAATTATTTTTGCAACTGGTTAAACTGTTTATTACGATAGTTTCTCACTCTGCTCTTAGATTTGTGAGTTTTCAAATATGTTAAAGCACAAATACCACTAGTGTTCTCCAGTTTATACGGGACAAAAGTTTATATCGCAAGTTTCGAAGATTGTACTTATGATAAGAATATTCATCTCTAAAATAATACCATTAGAATAGTCAAATTATCCCTTACGTCATAAGAAAGCTAAATTTCGCAACTACGAGAAGTGGCAACTAACAACACCAATTGCCATGCCTCAAATTTATTCATTTTAGACGGAAGAAACCGGTGTGGTTGCGAATATCAGCATTCGCATCCGAGGATAATCCGCATAAATTACAGCATTCGCATCAGCATTCATCGATGCTCATATTCATTGCGGATGTTCGAGTAGTGACATGACCTAAAAGCCTCCTTGAAATAATTTACAAACTGCCAAAAACTTAGAGTTCCTTGTGAAAGAGTTCGTTCGGGGTAGTAATGCCGTCAAGGAGTAATGTCAGCATTACTGTGTTCCGGTTTTGAAGGGTAAGGGTGCTGGTGAAATTACAGACACGTGGGACTTGTCAACTTATGTGTCAGCTTACCATCTGGCGCACGGCTTGTTCATCACGTCACTCGATATTATAAAAATAAAAAAAGAGATAGAAGATAGAGTGGAATCTACAAAAAAAATCCAAAATTGATGGATGAGTGATCTCATCCAGCGCCCACAGCGCAAAGGGTTGGACCACCGAGGTTGTCAAAAACTGAAATCTTCAACCCTCATCAAGCCAACTTACCTCGCTTAGGCCGAAACCGATGAGAGCATCAGAGCAGGTCCATGCACAGAAGTGGGATGTATAATGAGTTAAAGATGATAATAAGTAACTAATTTGCCTGTCGGTCAGTTTTATTGCACGCGATCAGGTTATTTCGAAGTCTGCTGAACCAATATTATTGGTAGCGCATAACTGTACAATCAGCGTCACAACAGGTACCGTTTTTCCTTATGCAATATACTCGCACGCATATACATCTTACTACGCTTGCGCAAGTGAAGGCCCGTTGTAGACGGACCTTTACGGACGATTTGACTGTGGGCTGTGATATTCGAACTTTCAAGTACTATTTTGCGAATGTACTATGTGTGTAAAACAAGCGAATAAACAAAAAAGTAATCCGTTTTTGTAATAATATGGAATTGTAACAAGGCACTACAAAGAAACTAAACTTATTTTAGTTTCTTTGTAGTGCTTTGTAATATATGTTATAAAAATCCGAATTTTCCGTTAGCTCCTAAACAACCTAGACAAAATATCATATTTGTATTTAATTTATTGAACTTAACTGACTGCAAAAAATGGTCTTAAACTTCTTTATGTTGTTTTCATTCTATTTATGTTTCCATACATAACAATAACTACCCCATTTTACAAACAGTATTTTCCATGAATATCTTAGAAATTACACTTTGCAATATAACCCATCGGTTAAAACACCTGAGGAGTCATACTTCAAAACACGTTTACCAAAATTGTTAAACTTTAAACGTGTTCCGTACAAGATTCACCCATTGTTTGTCCAGACACATTTCTCTGTGCTATCCATGATGCTATTAAATTTATAAATATAGAAGCACACATTTATCTTATACTACATTTTCAATGTGGCAGTTAATAAAACGATCTCCGGGCTCGCTCGGGCTGCGGACGTGGTCGCAGTACGCGCGCATCACTCTGCGACATTTTAACGAACTAGAACACGAGCTTCGTGACCGGCTCAACAGAGCACACAAGCCCGCTACAAAGTACCTGGCTAGCTTCTCCTCACCCGTCACCACTGTTATAGCCAAGTAAGTTGAACCTGTAATTACTATATCCAGCCAGTTGTACTTAAGTATAATCACTTGGCTTCACTCTTTCGACGTTGGACTTATTCGTAAGTTAAATATAGTAGATTTCAGTTAAGTGTATGTGTAATGGTAAATATATTTTTTTTTTAAATTGAAAAAAAGAGTGATGATTACACAAATCGCACATGGAAGAATGGCATAAGTGAAGTTACGACAAAAATGTTTATTGTACCATTAGATACAGAAAAATATAACTCGCATCCTCTCTAATTGTAGTAACTCGTATCTACTAATATTGGCGATAAACATTTTTGACGTAACTTCAGTTATGGCATTTTCCATGGGGGGTGCGAAATATTAATTCTTAATGAATTAATGAGCTTATTCGATTCATGTAAAGTTTAAAACATTAAAAAAATAATTTTGGTTTTATTTTCATAACAACCTATTTTTATTTAAATTCATACTCGATGCTTAATTCTAGGTAACGTCGCATATAGTATTGTATTTTATAGTACTTTAGTATGACCGACGTTTGTTGTTCTTAGGAACATAGTATTCGTGTCAGCAAGCATATTGGGCGTGCTCGTCGTGCTCTCCGTATACGATGAAGACGTGCTCACGGTCGAGCATGTGCTCACCATCATCACTGTGCTCGGGTGTATATTGGCCGGCGCAAGGTACTTTCTCAATTTTTTAATACAATAATTTTAATGTCATAATAAAAACAAAAACTTTATACTAAAGATACAACTTCTGCGTACTTGGATGACAAAAACCCGTGGTAGTAACCCGTTCAGCTCATGGAGGTAGTCTCGATTTCTGATGTTTCAAAAAAAAAAAATATATTGTAAATGTTGAATGTGTACAAATGTTATTTACAAAGAGCAACGCCTAGAATTTCTTGCTCATTCTTCTCAGGGGAATCTGCTTTATGAATGTACGGTAGAGTTTAATCAATGTGACGATTTCAAGTGTAATAATGCTACCTATGAAATAAAGATTATTTTAAAGAATTTGAAAATAATTACATGTGACACGTCGAAAGCATGCATTGGAGTAGTCTATGAAATTATTCGACGATGATTGGTTGCACTTTATGTAGGATGTACCTGAACAACGAGTAACTGAAAAATGTAATTATTTTTAGTACATTATGCGAAACAAGGTGAAAGTCATACCTTTTCTGCGGAACTTTTTGAACTGAAGTCATTAAGAGCGGTTACACACGCTTTACCTTTATCTTTTACACATTCGCGACTTTAAGCAGCGATGCAAGCGCGCGACTGCATCGATACAAACGCGCGATTGCATCGCTACACTTGGGATTTATAGGCGATTGCATCGATGCAATAGCGCGTTTGTATCGATGCAATCGCCTATAAACCGCAAGTGTAGTGATGCAATCGCGCGTTTCACGAACTCGGCTTCGCTGTGTATAACCACTCTAATAGTTATTGTTATTTTACCAATGATAATTAAACACCTATGGATACGTTTCAGAGCTCTGATAGGCGAGGAGGAACGTCTCGGCGGCGGGTGTACAGGTCCCCAGAGAGGCGAAGAGCTCTTTATACAAGTACTGGGCCATGTGCATTACTTGCCTGCGGCTTGGCGGGGGCGTGCGCACACCAAAGACGTTGCTGCACACTTTCAGCAGCTATTCCAGTTTCGAGCGGTAAGTACACATGTGATATAGTGTTTGTGACAGTAAATTCACGTCCATGTACAATTTATCGGACGACACGGAGTTATTATAGGATGCTACCACTGTGCACTACGCCTTAATTTCCCTTAGTTCGAAAATAATCGATTTTGATGTACCCCTTTGTGTTGCTTCAGGCATACATACTTTATGAGCTGTTAAGCCCATTGTTGTGCCCACTGGTGCTGTTGTCGCTGCGGTCGCGGGCGCTCGATGTTGTGGATTTCTACCGTAACTTCACTGTCAGCGTGCTCGGCATCGGCGATGTCTGTTCCTTTGCTCAGGTAATATATTTTCAAACAACTTTTTATACTTACACCTAACCCATATTGTAATATAATAAAACAAGTATGGTAACTCCATACAAGTGTAGCAGCGCGTCTTGTACGGACGCACATATTCGTAAATATCGCGGTGCACTCGAGTTGCAATGCGCGGGCTGTCTTACGCGCCATTCGTTATAGAATTGAAACGTTCATTCGTTGTTTAAAAAATGACATCAAATAAACGTGTTTTTTGTTGTTTGTGGTTGTTTGAACAAGATTGCCTTAAATTCAGAATTGTTCAACATTTCATTTCTACTTAATAACCATACTCATAACCAAGATAACCAATAAATAAAATAACCAATCCGCAATACTGGTATTAAAATATCAGTACGTGAGTACTGCATTTAACAAAGGTTATATCAGTGTGGCACGAGAATACTGTCAGATTACTTAATAGTACTGTGATGAACACCTTCATTTTTTCAATTTTTAATTAATAATTTAATTTTTAAAGTAGGTACAACTAAGATGATACTAATAATAATAACGCACACACTCAACAGAGCCCCGTACTAGGGAAAACCTGTGTCGCGGGTGCCATGGACACACACATAGACAATCACAAGTTACACCCAAACTCACGAGAGAAGTAAATGTAGCCCATACAATTATTTCTCCCGGTCCGGGAACCGAACCTGGGACATCTGCGTGGCAGTCCGACATGGTAACCGTTCGGTCACGTAGGCAGTAAATAATATATGAACCCTGTGAACAGGTGGGAGTTGTCCTACTTGTTTTATTATATGCCTATATGATTGAATAAATGTCAATTGTAATCAGCCACATCAAATAAATAATCTTTGGTATGTTTTCTACCCATTTCCTGTTATCCGACTAAGCTTAAATTTTCAGAGAATAGGTACAAAAACACATAACATGGAAATTATTTTAAGCTATCGACAAGTGTTTTTTAAACCATCTGGATATGTTGCAAAAGCGTAATATTCAATCAAATTATATTATTTTCAGTTGGACATTAGAAGGCACGGGAACCCGGAGTGGCAAATGCCCTGCAAATACGGTGAAAAACGAAAAGGTGATTAATATTATTATTATTTTTATTATTTAATTTTAGGAAGACCAACGGCTATCTTACATTACATAAACTTAAATAAAAACGGAGAGCCAATTATAGGTCCTCACCAGTAGATACACATTAAGTTAATTAAAGAGCTATAAATTATAACTATATAACTAATAATTATACTATATAGGTAATGACATAATCGCACACACAACAATTAGCTACTCGTCAAAATACAAACCACTAATAAGACGCTTCACCGATGCAACACTAGTGTTAAAAAGGTCAATATCAACCTGCTTGGACAATGCATTAAAACTATTACTCGCACGCAGGAGATATGCATTCCGCCGAAAGTATGAAGAGGCCAGAGGTACGCACAGAGGTGAATTCAACCTAAGGGTCTTTGCAGGGGCTCTAAGAGAAATCTTGGATACGAGTTCCGGGGAGTCAATGGCACCAGAAGCAATTTTTTTCAAAAACACTAGATCAGCAATCTGACGCCGCATCTCCAGTGGCAAAAGATGATGTTTCTTGCATATATTCAGATACTGATTTGACTCGTATCGCTCCCCAGTTCGAAAACATAAAAACTTAATAAATCTTTTTTGTACATTTTCAATTCTTGATATATAGGTAAGGTATTGGGGATTCCAGACCTGCGATGCATATTCCAGGTGGCTGCGGACAAATGAGCAATATAAAATTTTTAGTGTTTTAGCCTGCCTGAAATCCCTGGAGTTACGCATCACAAATCCGAGAGCTTTGGAGGCTTTTGAAATAATAGTGTCGACATGCGAAGCAAATAATAACTTATTATCATGAAGCACACCCAGATCCCTTACCACAGTATCACGTTGTAATTCAGTATCTCTCAAAGAATAATTAAAATGCACTAAGTTACTTTTGCGGCTAAAAGTGACGACGCTGCACTTAAATGGATTAAGGTCAAGATGGTTATCGGCGCAGTAAGTATCGAGCCTCATTAGGTCTTCTTGAAGCAGGATTGCGTCAGACACTGAAGAAATAGGCGCTATAATTTTCATATCATCCGCAAAGCACAAAAGTTGTGATGATTTAAAACATAGCTCGATGTCGTTTACAAAAATCGCGAACAGGAGAGGCGCGAGCAAAGATCCCTGAGGAATTCCACTAGGCACCATAAGCCACCCAGAAACATAATTTTTAACAACAACAGCCTGTGACCTATTGTTGATGTACGATGTCAGCCACCTCAGCAGATCGCCATTGATTCCGATCTTCTGTAATTTGCAAACAAGCAAATCATGACGAATCCGGTCAAATGCTTTGCTATAATCCGTGTATACGACATCAACTTGGCGGCCATCATCCATATGTGCAGTCAAAGAATCGTTGAACAATACCAGATTACTCACAACGGAACGCCCCTTCAAAAAACCATGTTGAGCGAAACTAAATGATTGCTTAAGCGCTGAATAAAGTTGGTCGTAAACTACTCTTTCAAGAACCTTAGAAATAATGCACAACTTTGAAATTGGTCTATAGTTAATAATGTCCGTTCTGGAGCCTTTTTTATGGACAGGTGTAATATAAGCACGCTTCCACACCTTTGGTACCGTGCCTTCTACCAAAGATCTATTAAATAAAATGGAAATTGGAACAGCTAGAGTCTCAGAGCAGCGGATGAGGAATTGAGCTGGAAGTAGATCAGGACCGGTTGACTTCGCGGGGTCAAGTTGTGAGAGAAGTCTAGATATAATACCAACATCCACTTTTATACTAGAAATATCAGCAACGGTCGGAGTAGAAACGCCTGCACAAGAAGTCGTTTGAGATGCTGGGCTGTACAAGAAATTTGAGTGAAAGTATTTTAAAAACGAATCACAGATGGAATTTCCGGAATTAAGAGTAGATTCTTCAAAATTCATACTACTAGGAATGTCATTCATATTAGATTTTGATTTAATAAATGACCAGAACATTTTTGGGTTGTCCTTCAAAGATTTCTCAATTGAATTTATGTAATTACTATAATTTTGCTTTTCCAGAGCCCTACATCGATCTCTCAATAGTTTAAAAGTTTGCTCATCAGCACTGTTACCATAAATTCTAAATTTCTTCAAATATTTGTACTTTTCCTTAAGAGCCTTTTTCAGAGCAGGGGAAAACCATTCGGGATAGCGTCTACCAGTGACCGTCTTACATGGTATATACCTATCCCTCCATGAAAAAAAAAGAGTGTAAAAATAATCAACAGCAGCCTCAAGTGAATTGGATTTCAAAGCACACTGCCAGTTCACTTCAGAAATCTCTGAATTAATCGCATCATAATTACCCCTGTTAAAAAGATACCTCACATACGGGGCACTACTTAAGGGAACAAGGTCAGAAAACTGCGGTTCAATAGTCAAGGCACCATGATGCATATCAACTGGTACGAGTGGGTCATTACTAGAGTCTACGACCTTAACATCACCATTTGACAAGACAAGGTCAAGAATCCTCCCATAAACATTCTTTAATATACTGTTTCCATTTCTTTTTGCAATGCGAACTGACATGGGATATGAGTCCTATTTACAACGGGTAACATAATTAGGATATATTATAAATTTTCAAGTCTTACGTCTGCTTTACATTAGTTTTGTGATCATTATATAATAGTATTGTTTAACATTAGAAAGTGGTTGTTAACGTATTGTGGTAGAAGTCAACTTGACGTACTACAGATGACCACCAGTGTTGTATGGAAATGGTTTTATAGTAATTGATACATGTCATATTTCAAATTCCATTAGTATTTCTCCAACATTTTGATGTCTACTGAGCCGGATTTACTTATTGTATTTTCAGAAAGTATTTTTTGATGGGAATTTGGTTATATATTTGTATTTCCACAAATATGTTTTGGGCGGACGAAAGTGTTCACATAAAACAGTACACATACATTCTTAATTTCTTTATATTCGTTAGATTTTCAAATTTTTTGTTCCATATGTGGCCATAAATATAAACGACTTCTGGTAACGGTTTTAGTAGCAGTACAGCTTTTGCATGAGTTCGTCCTGAGACATACTGCCTTTTTACTCATATTATTGCGTTCCGGTTTGGAAGGGTAAGTATGCTGGTGAGATTGCAGGTACCTGAGATTTGTCACCTTATGTTTCAGAGTGACGAACACAGTGGCAGTTCCCCTCAGGGTATACTTACTATATCTATCTTATAAATAAACTTTTTACATGATTTGAATTGAAATTAGGTACAGGAAGGGTTCCAATAGAATAAGTTAAGGAGTCCAAATTTGACCTTCTGAGCTTAGATGATGAAGTGAAATTACATAATGAAATAAGAAATAAAATTAAAAAATGAATTCTATAGGCAACGATATTATCATTTATACTTACTAATTAAAACCAACAAACCTGAGCCGGACAAACAATAGTCAACAGAGCAGTTAGCGTCAAAATTGCCATATGGGTTTATTATTTTTGCAATATCTATACACATACACAAATTCCTTGAGATTAAAGCTAAAATTCGGAATAAATCCGAAAACTTTTGAAAGTGCGCCTTAAATAAACATATCTACAATTTAATTTAGCATAGTAACTTTAACCAAGCAATTCATAGAAATAGATATTTTTCAGCACAAACATTGTAATTTGCCTGTATTATTTGACACACTTTGTTTTTTTTTTCAGTTCGCCAATAATTTTCGCTTTGCGCACCACTAAATGGAGCCAATAGGGTCCTGTATAATTTGTTTCGTATTACGTGCAGGTGCAGAGACACAGTACAACCAAGGCGAAGACGGTAAGACGGAGCTGTCGCTGGTGGCGTTCTCGTGCCGGCACCCAGGCTGGCAGCCCAGCGAGCCTGCACAGCGTCAATTCTTGCGCTCGCTACGCCAGAGCATGCACCACGCGTTGCCAATCAATAATCCTCTCGTTAGTATTTTTCTAATTTCTTTTTTTAACCTCCTTAGGCCGTGTGTAAAATGTACATAATATATGTAGTGATTCTGATCCTGACACTATTATTCCTCACCAGCAACCCATTGGGCATTTAGCGCTTTTTGCATGTAGTTTGCTGGGTCTTGAGAGGTTGACGTTGAATCGAACAGTGGCAACAAATGCTTTCTTTTCTATTATATAGAACATCGCAGTATCGCAGACATATCGTTGGTGTCTCTTAGAAAGGGCGAAAGGGCCATTTAGAATTGAAAAATTTCAGGGGAGCATGTTTTTTAGTTTTTCACGACTGTTTTAAAATATTGATATATAATTACTGTTTGAAATTAAATTTTAAACCTTGAACATGATTAAAACCAAAATTTAATTCTAATTAAATTTTTCATTATTGTAAAAGTGCAAAAATACAAGCCAAGTGGTTTTTGTATTCCATGCTAAAAAATACTACAATATAAACATCCACTGATAAAGAGTAAATTTTGTATTTTCCACGTAGGTGTAGTATAAAGCACTACATATCACTCGGACGAAAGTGAGATTCCAAACTAGACACTTTTTTTTTTCAGTCACTTTTTCCCCTTGGTGAACAATGTACTATTTGTATTCCAGCCCTTTAAAAGAAAATATGAAAGGTGATGCGAATTATGAGCCCGGGAGTCTATAAAGTCTTTGTTTTCCACCGTTATATACGTATATATGTCTGCGATATTCTTTACTATCGACATATTTTTTTAACACATATATTAATTAAAAAATGTATTAATTACTAGAGTGTTAGCTATACACATACATATATTATACAGTACCTTTCGTATTTTGATTCACTTTGCGTCATTCTTCTGGCGTTTATCCAAGAGTCGTGCGGATGTTTCGTTTGGAATTTATATTTTTGAGTGCGTAGAGATTATATAATATAAGCCACATTTTGCCTGCCTTTTTGTTGCAATATTGGACAATTTTATGTCCACAAATAATGCAACGTGCGAGTATCAGCGCTATAGGTTAAGTCCTTTGTGTGCTGGGTTTTAAAAATAAATTCTTGCTGTTTAGATAACGCTATGTGTACTCCAGTTAAAAATAAATTCTTGCTGTTTAGATAACGCTATGTGTACTCCAGTGGAATATTATAGTCTAGACTTTTGTTGCCTTAGCTGGCACCTCACAAAGTATTTTGTTATGCTTAGTGACTTTGTTTATGGTTATGTAAATGATGTGTGTTTTAATTAATTTTTGCTTTGTTTGTGGTTTTGTTTTGTAATTATTTATTTGCGTCGTATGTGTGAATGTTTTGTTTTTAATTAAAGAAAAGACTCTTTTTCTCTTTTGTTTTTTTTTTTCACTTGCATGGTGTCATTTGTGGTATTCAAGTAAATGTACTTTCTTTCTTCCTTTCTAATTAGATATTTGTGTTAACAAAGTTTCATTACTGTTCCTTTTTTTTTGCAGAATAAGACCATGCTAGGGTCGTACATTCAGCAGAGTATATTCGGTGCCAACACGCCCATGCCTGCCGTACTGTCATATTACCAACATCAGAAGGAACCGTTCAGACTTCCAGTCAGTATTAATGAATACTTATTTTACGTAAACAATTCGTAACATTAATTAGGAGGTAAAAAAGAAACGTCAAATTACGTATTTGAGATTTCATACTTCGGTGCCATACATATATATAATATCTCTGGTGTTACTTGACATATCGAAAAACCGACATATTTATTCCCACCCCACTTTCAGGATGTTCATGCAAGTTGATTGATTTAAGGCCTAGATTATCCTAGGTTGACAACAGCAATCTACATATCGACTGTGAACTGGCAACCGGTACTATCTCAATTTTCTAAAGATTTCACATTTTAATACCATTTTATACTACTTCATACTCCGCAGCGTTGCAAGAAAGTCCATCTCAGATACATTTAATTTTGGCGCCAGAATCGACTTCATTCAACTTGTACTAACTTCCTACCAGATGCTATATAAATATAAAGGCAAACAATTCTTTTCTTCATCCTGTAAAATTGTCAAAATTGAGATAGTCGATATGTATATTGTCAAATTCCTTATAAAGGGGTTAAAAATAGGTTCGTATTTACGATAATCACCAATTTAGTTAAAAATTTAACTGTGTTTGGCACACTCCTGTAAAATTGTTATCCGTTAAAACTCCTCGTATGTCGTGTAGAGTCTGAATATTCAGGGTACTTTTGGATATAGGTATTAAGTAATTTTAACAAAGTGATGACAGGTTGAAAAAGTTGTCTTTCTTTTCTAATTGTTTAAACATAGAAAATAATATTTAGGTGATTTTGTCATATAACCTTGGGTAAGGTGGCATTTCTTCCCTGTGCCAACTCTTTCACAAGAAGCTCTACTGTTACTAAAATAAATAAGTTAAATTGCAGGATATGGACGAGACGAGTGACGAGGAGGAAGGAATGTCAACAGCGCCAGCTCATGCGGCGTCACGGTCGCTAGATCTTGCAGGCGTCAGTAGCGCACTCGGCGCAAGCGCGTTGGGTGTCGACGCACTCGGTGCTACCGTGCCGCCCGCCGACCACAACCAAGATATGTCCGTTAGCACACTTCATCTTTATGACTTGCATTTGTCACAGGTAAAAGCAGCATAGCCATACAAACTATTTTTTTTATAGCTTTGTGTAATTTTTAACCGAGTTTAAAAAAGAGAAAGTTCTCAATTCGGCGGTAAGTTTTTTGTATGTGTGTTCTGACTAAACTTTAGAGTTAATCATAAATGGTTACTTTCTGTTTGTTTATTATTTTATTTTTATGTAAAATACGCCCATGCGTAGTCACAAAATGTCCTGATATTAAATGACTCTCTTTTCTGAATAGACCCGACTTGTAGTTTTCGGCGAAAAATGTATTTCATTTATCGCACGCATTTGGAAGAAGAAAGCAAAGCGCTCGATGTGACGGGTGGTACATCAATGACATACGGATTGTAATTTCACCAGTAACCTTACCCTTCAAAAACGGAACGCAGCAATTCTCACATTACTGCTTGGCGGCAGAAATCGGGAAGGTGGCAATACCTTCCCCGACAAACCCTTTCACGAGGAGTTCTACTGTTAATAAAATTTATTACTTACTATCATTTCTCTGAAAGTGAAGGTGATATTTAATGGAACCAGTAACAGCGCACATACGGCATGGAACACGACAGACGTATTTTACTATATAGGTGCCATGTCATACGCAATTATTACAATGTGATTGTTTTGAAATTAATTTGATAAGGGATACTATAGTTACTATACGAAACGAATTATATTTACTGTACGAACTATATTTTCAGATCGAAATCGCGTATGCTTGTTTTTTCAAATATAGGAATATTTCAGATCCTTTGCTCTCACTGTATTTTTTATAGTTACTAAAGTTATTAATTTATTTTAATTTTCCAAATAACATTCCAATTCACACTACATATTAATGTTTTTACGAAATGTTTGTTTTCGCAAACTAGTATCTTATAAATGCGATCTTCTGAATAATCACTATTATTCAGGAGATGGCAAAACCTATTTATTTTGTGTGTTTTGGGGTGTTAATTTAGATGCATTACTTTAAGAAAAGGTAAAAGCTAGTGTGTGAACGTGTAGGAAATGTGATGTGAAATCAGCTTGCAAAATTTGTATATACAATCCATTTTTTGCATTTCAGTAACTTTGTACTTTAAGATACGAGTTTGAGAAAGTAAGGCGACGATAAGTAACAATAGTGAAAACCTATGAACTAAGATAAAATTAGGAATGTATAAATATGTCATTTGATAATATTGTGAATATATTTTCCAGGCGAGTCAAAACGTATCGGCATGTTGTACGAACAACTGTAGCGAACGATCGCGCGGCGAGACCCGCTGGGCGAGCGGAGAGAGCACGCCTCTGCTACACCGTCCCTAACACTGGTGTACCACGACCTCCCGCATACCCCAACCGGTTTGGGTGTAGCCTAGTCTCGCGGCTGGTCCGATTATCGAACTGTCACCTTATCCTTGGTGCATTATCTTACGCCTTAGATCGTGCGCCTTAACATATGTATATGGTTGAATAACTCAAATACTCTTTTGTAAACTTCCTGGATTACTTAAAACTATTGTTACTACTATTATATTCATTGTGTCTATTTATATTCCTATTATTTCTATCTAATCGTTGTAAACTTTTATTGGTGATCTCAATGCCGTGTTTAAGGCGAAACCGTGCCATTAATGATAGTGCGAAAAATATGGTACTCACAATAAATAGACAGAAATATATTGTTTATCGTATACGTGAAAAAGTCCCAGAGTACCCGTTTTGGAGCAACTTAAAAAAAATTTAAACACAAAATGTAAGTTAAATACTTACAAACAGAAGATAATTATGTATTTAGTTATAGCGTTGTTTTCAATATTTATAGTAGTCGTTTGACCACAGAGTTATTACTATGAGTCGCGGCGTCGCTGTTATACAAATCGTCAATATGTTTATTGCACCTTATTCAAGGGTCGGTTTCGCCTAAAAGTGTATCTTTGTCAGGCATTCTTTTACACATGCGGTCGTATCGTTATATACGCCTTATATTGCACGCTACGATTAAGCAACATTATTTAAGCTTGAAAGTTACACCATAAGTTTACTGTACCTTCGTCTTCTGTTTTGTATAAATTCTATCTTAAGGTTGCATATCGTTTACCACGAATTAGGTTTTTTATATTGTTGAACACTCTTCGGACTAGGGTAACTTTTGTTTGCAAAGAAAAATAAAACAATAGAAAGACATAATATCTACACACCATTTTGATATTACGAGAATATTTTTGAATTGAACATTGAAAACTGCGACATAAGATTGATGTATTTTGTAAAATCGCAAAATAGTGACGCACGGAATGTTACCCTAGGAGATGTTCGTACAACATTTTCTACATAGATAGGAATTTTGTGATAATTATCATTACATTAGGGGCTTAGTTTAAGAAGAGGATAGTTCGATTGTTGAACAAAGTACGCGGGACAGTGTAGCTCCCATACACTGTTCACTGACAACGCTTTTGGCAATGGCTTGTGGACTTTGGAAATGAGTCCTAGCGCATATAAATGTTACAGAAAGGAATGGTTAAACTCAGGGATTCATCTAAACGCTTATTATGTAATACCACTTCCAGAAATCCAGTTTGTTTTTTGTCTTTTCGTTACCTCCCTTTTGAGCATTTAGTGATATTAAGTAAGGCGACGGAGAAAGTCAAAAACAAGACAGTACTCCTGAGCATTAACACCTCACTCCAGCTGATGCGGAACATCAAGAAGCGCAAAATCACATATCTCGGTCACGTGCTTCGACACGGTAGATACCGACTGCTTCAACTTATAATGATGGGAAAGGTTGAAGGCAAGAGACGCGCTGGAAGACGTAAACGTCATGGTTAAACAACTTAAGGGAGTGGACCGGAGTCACAAGCGCAGTACTATTATTTTGTTTGGCCTTGGACAGGGACAAATATGCCGTATTGACGGCCAACCTCCAGTAGTGGAGATGCTATTTAAGAATATAAAGTAATGCGAAAGCTAACATTTGGAAACCAAACTATATTCGCGGTTACATGCGTCAAATAGTCTTCTCTGAAGATTCACCACGCCTTTTTGTTATATATTGTTCATGTCGAGTTGGCTTCCAACTGCCATGCCTAGAAATTGACAACCAAAGCAACACTAATGTTGGTTGTTTTTTTAATTTCTACACGCGCATTGACTAGCTATATGGAAGGCAACACTTCTGAGGTTACTAAGTTGGTTAGGATTGTCTTGTGTGTAGTTTTAATTTAGGCGTAAGTAGCTTAGTTTGAAATTGTATTGTCAGTGAAGAGGTTATTTTTCGTGTCAATTTTACTGAAAATAACCTAGACAATTGTATTTTGCATACAAAATACATTATGACATCGATTACGCACATTAATACATTATAAATTTAACTGTAACGATAGATTTTGTCTGGTAACAGTCGTAATACCTAATTGTATTCCACTTTTTGAAGCTATTGCGGGTAGAAAAGGTCGTGAAGCATGATTGTGTTCTGTTAGACATGTCTGAGAAAATGAAATCTTTCATGCTACACTTTGAAGCCAAAATATCGAGCCACCTGTGCTCACTATCAAATATAATTTTTTTCCGATGTTATGGCAACAAAGAAAAAAATTATATATCTAGTCTTAACTCTTAGTCTCATAATATTTATATGGTAGAGTGTGACTTGTTAAAAATTCAAATCTATAGGCATTTTAAAATATTACATTCGATTTTTTAAAAGCACTTATGTCGATAACATTAGTCAACGCTGCTTTTGTAAATACGAAATTAAACTATAATATAAATTTACTATGATATTAATATGAATGCTTTCAAATTTTGAATCAATCAATTATGATCATAATGGTCGCTAATCTATAATGCTTGGAAGCCATTATTATACAATGTCGCAAGTACTATAGGAATAACAAAGCAATAATGTAAACCCTGTTAAAATACGTTATATAATTGTAATTTTTTTGTACACACTGTATTATATTACCTAGAAAGGGCACACAAATATGTAGCACGCTAGTTTCTTCCACTTAATTAAAATCGTTATTCGATGAATAGGGCGTTTAATACGAATATTTTATATATGCACAAGCAAAAGCAAACTACAAAGTCGTAATGCATGTGGCAAAAGATAGGAGGCTAAAACGAAAAGTATTAAGTACCAATCGCCTATACTCTCTGTGATATAATTAACTATGGTCTCTTAAATCTGAATTGCACGAGTTGCATCAATCGGCGGAACTTGTGAAATGAAAACGTACAATGGTTGTGAAAATAAGTAAAACACGAAGTTTGTAACGTAGAAGTATATTATTTTGAGTAGGATGTTTAGCAAAAATAATTTTCTTATTTTATACAACTACAAGATGCATCGACAAACAAAATATGAAGTCCAAAATTTAACTCCGTCAAAATTGTATTCAGATGTATATGAACAAGGAGACCAGATATATACTCAAGTACAGGCATAATCTAAAACTATTTTAGAAGCTAACCATATATAATTCAGCTTAACCGATTTTTATACTGCAATTACTTAATGAATTATCTAATACTACAGTAAAGCGAAAGTATTGAACGCACGTCGCAAAGCTAAAACTATGTAGTTTCGTTTGCAGAGGGCGTAGTGCTTTTGCTGCACAATACGAAAGAAGATCGTTTCGGCCTTGTGATTAAAACACCACAAGTAAAGTAATAGCACAGTGTTCATAGTTCTGAACAGTGTCTAAAAATTGTCAAGTACAGAATGTTGATTTGTCCAGTTAATTTCGTTAATGAGGTCAATCTACTCATCAATATAAATAACTTTTATATATACATAAGTTTTATAAATATATAAAAGTTAATGTTAACGCTGTATAAGAAAAATTAGGTGTACATTATATGCGAATATGTCATGCATAACATTTTATTTTCTTCTAGATTTGGGAAGGGTCGCCAAATAATTGTTTTATTCGAAGTAGATTGACTTTGACGAATTAATTCGCCAAGTCAACACCACTTGTACCTCGCTCGCTTTAAAATTAGAATAATAAATGAAGGGTTATGAAAAGGAGGTGTACAATGAAGCTGACTAAATTAGCCTTTTAAAACTAATTTCTTGTTTAAATATTACGTAGAATCTACTATATATTTATATTATATTTACATATATCGTTGTAGTCATTAGATGCACACGTTTTAAAAATACAAAAATTATTTATCAAATCATGTGTACATGTGTTCACATAGGGACGTTTATTACCCTGAATGCATGAAATAAATAAAAAGCAAAGAAGTTAGAGAAATCGATCCCTTTTCGTAAAAAATTGTAAGCCCAAATTCGCAACTTTAAAGTGGTCCATTATAAAAAAACAGACAACAAAAATAGAGTAATTTATGAAAAAATATACCTATTGTGGTGCATTACGATAGATCAAAGTGTACTTTGGCTTTGTTACAACAAAAGAGGTATACATATAACTCACTACATTTTTACAATGTTTTTCTAACTCAGGAGGCAGTACAGGGTAATTAAAGTCCCCGTTTTATTTACTTTAGTGCCAGGAAATGACGGCACAAATATTTTTTGCTTTTTATTTGGATTATTCATTAAAATGTCCATACTATGGAGCTCAAATTCAGTGCAGTTAAGGGCCTTAATACATATTTATTTATTCGACAACTACATGTGAACAATTTTTATACGAACATTGTATGTCTTGGTATTTTAGTGATTATATAATACATACGGGATATTTCAAAATTGTGAACTAATACTTTCTACTACTCTATCTGCTTTACAAGAATTCATAATTCACACAAAATAATTAATTTCGATTTCCTATACTTCACTTTGCTTTTTGATCTATTTATATAGATACCGTTATTTTCGTGACGAAATTTATAGTTATTATTCGTGGTCAATAAGCAAAGCTTTATTTCATAGTTTTGGGACACCTGTAACTTTGAATATTAAGAAAAGTGTACATTTATCGGGATGTAATATTTAGTCCAATTAATAATAGACACTACCTCATATATGCATACTGCGCGTAGCCTTTACTAAGTATCTAAATAAAACACAGATTATTTATTAAGGTTATTGTTAATGTCGGAAACACACAAAAAATGATACAATAATTAGACGCTATAGAGATATATTTATGCTAATTAGTTTTGCAAGATGGTATTGTTTCTGACTTTAACAACTGCAATTGTTTCCTTAAATTTTTTAATGAAGGATATAAAATAATTATAAAGCAATATTTTTATATAAACATGATAGCCATATTGCAAGGAATTTAACATTGGGCCTGCTTTTATCTCCTATGAAGTTAGCAATTTTTTTTTTATTGACGGTAGTAACGTGTGCCTAGATTATAGTTCAAATTAAGCGTAGATACCCTTGTCTATATCGGTTGCGTGGTTTATTTTAGCGTCGAGTATTAAAAATTTAGTAGTAGGAATTAGTCATGATTTAGTCGGCTCTAGTCGTAACAATGGGGTTTAATTGATCCGCTGTGTTTTACTGTCCACGCTGAAATAACCTTATCCCGACGTTACCGTTCTTCTATCTCGATAACCACATCGCATACCTTTTTCTAGTGTCTCTATAGGTTAAAAAAAAAATGACTAGTCCGTTAAGAAATCGTGATTTGGTCGGTTCTGTAGTCGTCACAAAATAAGAGGCACTTTTTAACAACAGTTAAGCTAGTATCAACTGTATGTATAATCTTTGAATTTCAATCATATTATCATTGTTAACATCTCTGATTAAATCAAAATTAAAAAGTAATATTTATTTAAGTGAAATTGAATTGACTCAGTGAAGTTTGTCGATTAATTGGTTACACTATTATTAAAAAAATAATAAGACTGAGGATGTAACGGACTAACTCAAAATTGCATTTTTTGTTTTGAAATTCGTGCGAAAATAATTATTGAAATTTGTTCTATCATGTTATATAATTCTTCACTAAAATTAATGTATTTTTTTAACGCATTATGTGTATAATTGTTTGTTTAGTGTTTCGTTGATTGCATTCAAAGTTACATACTATTGTCTATT